ACTTGTCCCAGCAGCCCCACCACCAAGCTCAGCACGTCCAGCACCTCCCAAGCATTCCACACAGAGCACGTCCCACTGGGAATCCCCAGCTGCACCTCTCTCCACGTGGAACCAGCCTGGTCTGCCTTGGAGAGGACCTTAAAGGTCCTCTGACTGCGCCCCAAACTCGCTGACAGATACATCCTGGTACATTCCCCAGGATCTGTTCCTACATCCACACCCAGCCACCTCCATCAGCCTCCTCCTCTTCCCTGAGCAACTTCCAGCCCCACAAAAATCCTGCCAGAGGGCTCAGGGATGGAATTTGAACCATTGTCATCAAATTAGCCCTGGGTTTTAAACTGTAATTACATTTTATATATAAATATAAGCCCAAACACCACTAAAAATCTAAATCTACATAAATATATGTACGGGAGTTTTAAAATAGCAATCAACAAAATTATTTGCAATGAATCCCTGATCAATAACTGTGCAATCAATGTGCAATAAATGCAAATCTCAGCTCCGGATTCAAAATCTCCCCCAGAGTCTGTCACTAATGGGTCACGTGCCAACACTGACAACAAATTCAGGAAGTTATTGATGGAAGGAACACTTGGAAAGCCTCAAACATCTAATTATAAAATAACACTTAATACCCAACCCAGGAAACACAACAAAAAGAAACAGAGCAGGCAAGGCTGGGCTGCTTCCACGGGGTTAATTTATGGAATTGTGCTTCTTATATCCCACCTCAGGAAAAAATAAAGCACCTTTTTGTACAAGGAAGTGTGACAAAATGCAAATTACTCACCTAAAATAACAAATGATTTAATTCCAGCTCCAACGCTGATTATACACATCATTACCCTGCCCATTAAATTGTCAATCCCTCACCAAAATAATTCATTTATAACCTAACTCCTTTTATTTCAAATCCTGAAAATAACAAAAATAACTCCCACGACACCGAGTCTTTGGGCTGAGCTCCAGGTTCCTGAAGTTTCACCCAGACCATTGTTTTTAGGTTTCAATAATCAATACTTCAATCACATGGAGACAGATTTAGGATTAAAAATAGCCAGCCCTGCTGGGGAGGGCAGAACAGGGGAAAAAAAAAATAAGGAGAAATGAGTGGAAATAAATTTTTAATGAACTGAAAGCAGAAGGAGGGAGGTTGGTGCCCATCTCAGGGTGCCCTTGGCTGTGCCACTGCACCAACATTCCAGCAAGTCCTGGACATTTCCCCTTTCCCAGCTCAGAGGATCCTCTCCCACATCTTCCCGTCTAAATCGGATTTTTCCTTGTGCTCCAACCAAAATCCAGCCCCCAGCACATCCCCACCCCCACTCCAGCTGGGTCTTCTCCCTCCTCAGAGCGTCCCCACCTCCTCCACGGGCACCAAAACTGCTCCTTTTCCATTAAAATCCAGGGAGATGGGACATTCTCCTCCTTTCTGATGGATCTGCCTCTCCAGATGTGTTTTAATTTTGCTCTTTCCCACTGCCCCCAGGCTGACATCTGTACATTCAATCAACATGCAATTTGTTTTCTCCACCAGGTCATTAATGAGGATTCTCAGTAACTCTGCTCCCAGGACTGAGCTGGGAATATCCCATTTTCCAAGCCAGGCCCAGGCTAAAGACCATAAAGAAATCCAGAATCCTATGTGCTGTTATAAAATGGGGAGCTGTTAGTAAGAAATAAAATATACCTGAGGGAACTGGACTTTAGGCTTTGGATAAATTACCTGACAGCTGCACTCGAAATCCAGAGCTGGGTATGAAAAAATATAAATGGAGAAGGGGAAGAGCAAGGTGGGTTTTGACTATCAAATATTCTGACTTGGTACAGAAGGAATAATGGGTCAAATCCTCAAAATGCACAGGTAATTCCAAGGAAAACACAACCCCGTGGTATTGTGTAGTTTATGAAATGTGTCTTTTGGCACTGACACAAAAAATAAAAGTATTTCTGCTCTGTGCAGAGCTGAGCCCAATTCGGTTCTCACAACCATTTTAAACAAAAAGCTGCTTTTGGCTTTTAAGGGGAAAACAAAACATTCCGGGGTGGATTTTTGGAGGTTTTCCTTCTTCCCCTCCACCTTCCCTGTGGGCAGGGCAGCAGTGCTGGAGCCTGGACTGGGAGCACAGCTCAGGCTTGGCTGGGGCTGCTCCAGGGAAAGGGCAACCAGATCCTGGAATGGTCTGGGATGGAAGAGACCTCAGAGCTCATCCCACTCCCACGGCAGGGAATCCATCCAACCTGGCCGTGGGCACTGCCAGGGATCAGCTGCTCTGGGATTCCATCCCAGCCAGGAATTCCCAATTCCCAATCTCCCACCCAGCCCTGCCCTGTGGCACTGGGAGCCATTCCCTGTTCCTGTCCCAGCCAGGAATTCCCAATTCCCAATCTCCCACCCAGCCCTGCCCCCTGGCACTGGGATCCATTCCCTGGGTCCTCTCAGGGAACAATTCCCAATTCCCAATCTCCCACCCAGCCCTGCCCCCTGGCACTGGAGCCATTCCCTGTGTCCTGTCCCAGTCAGGAATTCCCAATTCCCAATCTCCCACCCAGCCCTGCCCCCTGGCACTGGGAGCCATTCCCTGTTCCTGTCCCTCCATCCTTGTCCCCAGCCCCTCTCCAGCTCTCCTGGAGCCCCTCCAGGCCCTGGCAGGGCTCTGAGCTCTCCCTGGAGCTTCTCCTCTCCAGGTTGAACATTCCCAGCTCTCCCAGCCTGGCTCCAGAGGGGCTCCAGCCCTTGGAGCAGCTCCATGATCTCCTCCAGCCTCCCTCCAGCAGCTCCAGATCCTGCCCTGCCAGGACCCGTCCCCATCCTGCAAGGATCCCATCCCCATCCTGCCCTGCCAGGACCCGTCCCTGTCCTGCCAGGACCCAGCCCTGGCACAGCCCTGCAGGAGAGGGGAGCAGGAGGGGGAGGGAATCTCTTCCCACCCATCCTCAGGCAACAAACACTTTGGGAACACTGGGACACAAACAGGGACACTGGGACACCAGCAGGGACATTGGGACACAAACAGGGACACTGGGACATGAACAGGGACACTGGGACACAAACAGGGACACTGGGACACCAGCAGGGACACTGGGACACCAGCAGGGACATTGGGACACAAACAGGGACACTGGGACACAAACTCCAGGGACACTGGGACACAAACAGGGACACTGGGACACCAGCAGGGACATTGGAACACCCAGCAGGGACACTGGGACACCCAGCAGGGACACTGGGACAGCCAGCAGGAATACTGGGACACCAGCAGGGACACTGGGACACCAGCAGGGACACTGGGACACTCGGCCAGGCCACCAGGGCTATTTTGGCCAGGCTCTGTCCTTCCCAGCCCGGCCCAGGACTATATTTAAAGTCCCGGAGCCGTAGGCAGAGTCTCATTTTATCTCTGCACTGCACGAGGGCTATTCTGGGATTTACAAACAACGCAGGAGCACACAAAATGTGGTTTTATCTCCTGGTTTCTTCCTGGGGTCAATGCCCACCCAAGTCAAACTTTTTGAGCCACGTTAAAAACACCTTAAATAAAAAAAAACCCGGGGGTTTCCAGGAACCTTTGGAAGTTCCTTTGGAACCTTGTCCTGCTGTTTTATCCTCAGGAGCTGAGGCCAGAGGGAAGGAGGAAGGTTTGAACACTTCACAGACCCCGGCAGCGTTCCCGGCCTGCTGGCACCCACAGGCTCCTTTCTGTCCCTTCTTTGTCCCTTTTACCTTTTTGTAGCTGCCCTCCGCGGGCGGCGGGGCTGCTTTCCTGAGGATGTCACCCATTCCATCACCCCGCTCCCGGCTCATCTGCCCCGCTCCCGGTGGCACATCTCAGTCCTGCCCCGGGCACCGAGGTTCGGGATACTCCTCCAGCCCCTGGGCTCTCCCAGAGAAAGGCAGGGAGCCCCAGGGAGAGGAGAGGAGCCGCGGCCGCCTCCAGCCACTGCCAGCGCCGGATAAAAATAACCCCGAGCTCCAGCGGCTGCACAAGGGCAGGAAAAACCCCGGTGTCTGGTGTCAAAGTGCCAGCCTGGCCCTGCTGCCCAGCCCGGAGCAAG